ATTTTCCTCTGATCTCTCTCTCTCTCTCTCTCTCTCTCTCTCTCTCTCTCTCTCTCTCTCTCTCTCTCTCTCTCTCTCTCTCTCTCTCTCTCTCTCTCATTCTGTACATTTATTAGTTATTTCCTATTTCTTTATTTTTTTCTGTAATGACCGATATATTTTTTTATTAATCAGTTCATTCGTTTATTGTTTCCTTTTTATCTATCAAGTACATTAACTGACTAATTGGCATGCTTAGATGCTTAATAATCTACTTGCTTGATATTCTATTGAACTAAAACAACCCTTTCCTTATTTTTTATTTATTTTTTAAGCAGGCAGAACTACAGACAAATGAAGAAGAAAACAACAAAAATAAGAATCAGAAGATAAGATAACAGCAGGACGCAGACAGGAACACGAAGGAGCGAAGGATATCACCAGCTGACTGTGACAGATGGTGGGCGTATAAGGAGCGCAGGCAGCTGGCTCGCCCGCCCAGACACTCCGCCCGTGGCACCTTCGACGCGGGCGGCGGTGCTGCCGGGGAGGGAGGGTGGGTGAGCGGGAGAGGGGGGAGGGAGAGGGTGAGGGAGAGAGGGGGAGAGGGAGAGGGGGGGGGAGGGAGAGGGTGAGGGAGAGAGGGGGAGAGGGAGAGGGGGTAGGGTAGATGGGAAGAGGGGGGGGGAGGGGGACAGGGGATGGTATAGGAAGGGTGGAAGGGGTATGGAAGGGGGGGGGAGGTGAGAGAAGGTGGACGAAAGGGAGAAGGAAGAGTAAAGGAGGGGAAGAGGGAAGGAGGAAAGAATGTGGGGGTAAGAGCTAGGCAAGAGAAAGAAGGGACGGGAAAGAAGGGTCGAGAGAAAGGAAAAGCGGGAGAGATGGGGAGGAAGAGGAGGAAAGGATGTATAGGAGGAGGGAGGGAGGGAAGTGGATGGAGGGGAGAGTAGAGGGGGGAGGGGCGGAGGTTCATTTCTTTCGTTGCTACTTTATTGATGTATTATGTGTCATTATTTTGAATTACAAATACTATGTATAATAATAACATCAACAATGATAATATTTATGATAATGACAGTGGTTACAACGATTAAAAGAGAGAGAGAGAGAGAGAGAGAGAGAGAGAGAGAGAGAGAGAGAGAGAGAGGAGAGAAAGGAGAGAAAGAGAGAGAGAGAGAGAGAGAGAGAGAGAGAGAGAGAGAGAGAGAGAGAGAGAGAGAGAGAGAGAGAGAGAGAGAGAGAGAGAAATATAGATGTAGGGATACATCAAAAGGTAAAGATAAGGACGGATAGATATGAAGAAATAAATGGATAGAGCGATATACAAATAGATCATGGAATATTTGAAGAGAAATATCAGTAGTTGCAGCAGTAGTAATTGTAGTGGTATTAAAAGAAAATAAAGAAGACGAGGAGGAAGGCGATGAGAAGGAGGAAGAAGAAAATATAAGACAATGGAAACGAAAAAATGAAAATTGAAAATTGATTTACCAATGATGATCTTTGCACGGAATATGGAGCGACACTTCTTTTTGGGCGGTGAAGACACGGGAGAAGAGAGAGAAAGAGATAGATAGATAGATAGATAGACAGATAGATAGAGCGAGAGCGAGAGAGAGAGAGAGAGAGAGAGAGAGAGAGAGAGAGAGAGAGAGAGAGAGAGAGAGAGAGAGAGAGAGAGAGAGAGAGAGAGAGAGAGAGCAATTCGTACACACAACCATATGAGTAGATCCAGTGACGTGGAGGGAGAGGATCATACGAACATTTAAAGAAAAGGAAGATGAGAAATAAAGCTCTTAAACTGTCCACAGATTATAACTGGCACGAGGGAAGGCTTATGACAATAAATATCAGCTGCGTTTCCATTGTGGTTGACTAATTTCTCCCTTATCAACATTTTTTTTGTATTTTGCTTTGTGCATCTCACACCCCTCGTTCCTCTGTTCCTCCTTTTCTCCATCTCTCATTCTCTCTCTCTCTCTCTCTCTCTCTCTCTCTCTCTCTCTCCTCTCTCTCTCTCTCTCTCTCTCTCTCTCTCTCTCTCTCTCTCTCTCCCTTCTCTCTCTCTCTCTCTCTCCCTCTCTCTCTCTCTCTCTCTCTCCTTCTCTCTCTCTCTCTCTCTCCTCACTCTCTCTCTTTCTTACTCCTCTCTCTCTCTCTCTCTCTCTCTCTCTCTCTCTCTCTCTCTCTCTCTCTCTCTCTCTCTCTCTCTCTCTCTCTCTCTTACTCACTCTTACTCACTCACTCTCTCTCTCACTTCCCCCCCCCCCCTCTCTCTCTCTCTCTCCCTGTCTCTCTCTCTCTCCCTGTCTCTCTCTCTCTCTCTCTCTCTCTCTCTCTCTCTCTCTCTCTCTCTCTCTCTCTCTCTCTCTCTCTCTCCCTCTCTCTCTCTCCCCTCTCTCTCTCTCTCTCTCTCTCTCTCTCTCTCTCTCTCTCTCTCTCTCTCTCTCTTACTCACTCTTACTCACTCACTCTCTCTCTCACTCTTCTCTCTCTCCCTCTCTCTCTCTCTCTCTCTCTCTCTCTCTCTCTCTCTCCCTCCCTCTCTCTCTCTCTCTCTCTCTCTCTCTCTCTCTCTCTCCCTCCCTCCCTCCCTCTCTCTCTCTCTCTCTCTCTCTCTCTCTCTTCCTACTGATGGCCGTCTATCAACAACAAGGCATCTGTTTAGTTACTCAGCTGCGCCATCTGTGGTGATTCGGATCCCTGTATGCGCACCTGTGTGTCTGTTTGTGCATGTGCGTCTGTATTGTTTATATTTTTGGGGTGGGGGAGGGGGAGGGGGGAGGAGGGGAGGGAGAATATTTTGTCCGCTGTGATTAGCTTTTTTGTGCATGATATGTGTGCTTATGTGCACGTGTGTACGCGTGCACACGCGCGCGCGCGTGTGTGTGTGTGTGACAGAGAGA